AAGAAGTGAGACATTATTGTGGTTTTTTCTGCTTGCAAAGCACAATTTAGTCTTTAATCAGATAGTTCTCAACAAACTCTATCGATTTCAACAATATTTGGTTGATAATGAAGCAAGTAATGGAGATTTAACCTTACGTTTTAGCACTAAATTTTCGAATAATGGCTCTAAAACACCTTCCAAAGAAGATCCTACCATACAAACACCCCTTTATTAAAGTTCGGGTTGTCGACGTCTCTAGCCTTATATACTAGTGCCCTAACGTTATCAATGCAAAAGAAACCACTTGCACTTGATTCATGGTTCGATATAGCGATGAATGTTTCACTATCCAAAATTATGAATTTTTCAGCGCAACATGCTATGAGATGAAGTAAACATCCAATTTTTGACACCCTTTGCAATTTTCTCGTAACGTATTTCGCTGATTACTAATGATCGTGTCTAAATCTATTGTTTTGGTACAAATTTGGATGTGCTGTAACCATAAAAATCACCAAAAATGATTTTTTGCTTGACCAACCCGGTTTTCGGTACTTAATGACAATTTTGAAGGGTTTGAGCATTTAAATGGGAATACGACCGTACTTTTTGCATTCTCAAGAATCTTTATATTCATATTAAGTCCATGAAACACGATAGATTACATCTTTAGACACATGCAGAACTTGTTTTGAACTTAGCTGTCCAAAACCATTTGAGACACTTTTTCGTAAATCCAATTTGTACGTCATTGCGAATGAATATAATTGAATGGTTTGAGTTTGACAATAGAGTAGGAGTCCCGTTAAGTATCCTATGTGCATTGGTTGACATTTTTATTTTTGTTTATGTAGCGCAATAAACGCCTGAATTTAGTCTCAATATTTTCTTAACATATGTTAAATTCAACGAAAAAAAATACACATTGATTCACAGTAAAGAGTGATGCTTGTTTGTTTGTTCTTGTAACAACTTGTTGATGTGACGACAATTTGATTCGGTTGAGAGTGTGCATAATTCGGAGAAAAAAAATGTGTTCAACAAGCACAAAGTTTGTTATTCAAGGAGAATAAATGCAGTAGGTCCATAGGTGTTGACGTAATTTTTCTTAGAGGGGATGAGGTAATGGCAAAAATGCGTAGGGTGTCCTCGCAAGAGTCAGTTTTCCAATCAAATCGAAAGATTTTCTCCCATTTCAAAAATTGATGGCCAAAAAACGTAATTTTTTAGAGGGTTCCGAAAAATATTTTGAACCGTGATCCGAACCCTAGGAATCAGTAGGTCTATTATTTCAAAGCAAGTAATAACGTGGAACGTATTGGTTTGTTAAAGGCACAATCTTTAGTTTAAAATTTGATGTTATGATGCAATTTAACTAAGCCAAAGCATGGCAGAGACAAGCAACGACACCAGCGCTCGTATCGGTTGTCAGTTGTACAATAGCAACCCTTTTGGTTGCTGTGTTGCCCAACTCTCACTACTGCCATGCTTTAAATTAAGCAATCAGAAATTATTAATCATTTAAACGAGCAAATATTAATTCCTTTTGAATGTATATTCAAAGTATTCAGAGCACACTGATGAAAGACAATGCCACTGTGAAGTATGCAAAAAACACACATTTGTGTTCAATTCCCTTTCAAATTCTTAAAGTGTCGCCGGGGATTTTCGCAAGAAATTGAAAAATCGACGCCAACGTGTGTCATATGTGCGAAGTTTTTTTTGAGTGAAGTGAGCCATTTGAAGAGACAGAATCGAACTCATCACACCGGCGAGAAGCCATTTGCATGTAAAATATACGCTGCCCAATTTACACAGAAGTGCAATGTCGATCGTTAAATGAAGTCGCATGAAATATGTTGCTGGAAACACTATGAGTACATGAATTACATAAAAAATTAATGAAAGCAAAAATGATTAAAATTAATCAGTAAATGATCGTTTCGATACATGTTATTTTGCTCACTAAAACGTAAAGGAGAGTATAATAACGGTTCATCTGATCAGACTGGCCTGAGCTGAAAATATATCTCATTATCAACGAATCAAATAATGCATTTTTAAATTTGTGAAAGACCAAATAGAAAATTATCTCTTCAGATTTTAGGAAAATTTTTGTATCGTCAACTTCAAAAGCTATGAACAAACGACAGACCGTAAAACAGTGTTATTTCCGAGTATCACTTGCGTTGTATATTGACAATGTATTTGAACGCGACTCGATTTAAGAAGCGCCATCTCTGTCACGCCAGGTTCTCATATATTTTTTTCTTGCAAATAAAATTGCAAAATTGTATAAATTGAATAAGTTTTGCAATAGTAATAACGAAAATAATTAATAGAATTTATAATAAATAAAAAAAATTGAAAAAACACACAAACATTTTATATTATATGATTCTCGTGTTATGAGGTAGCTTTGCCTTGTAGACCATGTAGAGATGGATATGTGGAGAAAATATGTATTTGTCAAACATTCATATCTGTCAACAACGAAAACAACACGAAGAAACAACGTAAACAACACGAAGTGAATATTTTTCTGGTGAACTATCGGTATTATTGTGATTATTGCAAATAAAAAATTAAAAATGTTGTTCTTTTTTTTTCAAAAAATCTTCACGCAAATCTGCGATTGCATCGAGAACTGAACACAAGACATGCTAATTACTTGAATCTAATTTTGTTTTTCTATCGATTTTTTTTTCATCTCTTAGACAAATCATAAATTTACATTGATATTGCGGAAAGACAAATGTGACACCATCAAATTATCATCGGAATATCGAAATCATCGTTATTTAAGTATCGCAGCGAATTTGCGTACAAAATAAAAAGTGAGTTCAGTGAGTTACAAATTTTCCATTTCAAAGGAAATAAATTTCATTCTCGTGAATACCGTGAATATAATTTATTGGATTGCCGGGTTTGCCAATCAAATAGAGAGTTTTTTTTGCTGAAAAAAAGAATAAATTCATATTGGGTGCATTACAAGCGTTGAAAAAAAAATAAATAAATTGGTCATTATTAATGTTATTAATGTCAATTCAATAAATCGAACGTCGAACATCTTTTCCAAACATTTTTTGTTCAGTATTGTTCAGTTTTCACAGAAAGTTCAGCTTAATTCAAGTGTACGAAAAATGAATAGAGAAACGTCAAGTCCCTTCATTTTTGATGAAGTGAAAACACCAATTGGCAAAAAATCGATCGATAATGAAAACACGTTTTTATTGGCAAACATATTTTTTCCTTTTTTTCACTGTGTCAAATGTGTTCGAAAGCAAACATTGCCAAATATTTTTGAGTTCAAAATTGAAATAACTCTATTGTTGAAATAGAGTTGTTTGAATTCCAATACTTTTATTGTTTAAATACTCAATACATCACTTGTTTACATCGAAATATAAAAGCTCATAAGCTGTACCGTTTCAAACTAGTGCAGTTTTACGAATCATTGTAAGCAGAAATTACTTTTAAACCAAGGAACAGTCAGTGTTTGCTTCAAAATGCAATTGAAATTTCGACACTTGTTATCTCTATTCTTCATTGGTAGGTTCAGAGAAAAATAGCTCAAATTACATTGAGACAGTTTTTAGTCAATTTATGTAAAAACAAATGAATTAAATATATTTCAATGTTATTTAGGCATTGTAATGTTGGGGTCTTCGACTGTGCATTGCGAAGATTGGAAGAATTGGATTTGCGGAAAATATAGTGTCAGGGTACGTTATTATCATTATCATAATAATACATCTATTTTATTTTATTTTGTTTGATCAAATTAGGAATTCAAATTATTCAAAGAACAAAAAGACTTTGATAACGCGAAAATCTCAAGGAGTAGTTTGCAACACGTTGGGCAATTTAAGTGCTGTGGCTGCTGCGACGCATTGTTGGTACCAAATGGAAATGGGCAACTGTGCCTGAAATCGATATCTTCAGGTTCATGGGTGCTTACCAATTACAATAAGAATATCCACCAAGTTGTAGGTGAAACTAGCAACACTTGCTGTCCAAACTAAGCTCCAAGGAAATATTTTTGCTCGCATTAGCTCTGACTAATTATATTCTTGTAATGAGGTAAACAGATGTTCAAATGCCTGGAAACAGGTTTTTTGAACTTTGAAACTGATGTTATTGAATGTTTTCAAATAAAAACGCGACCAAATGAAATTATTTTTATTTTCTCTAAAATTTATCTCTTTTATACGGAACTTTAAGTTACTTCAACTTGGAAACCTTGAATGAAACAAAAAACACATTGTCTTGAAAGGAATTAGTCCTCTTTCGATTTGTCCGTATTAGGTCCATATTCATTTGCGAGTAGTATTTAATGAAATTTATCAAATAAAAAGTCAACATTTAGAAGTAAAATTGAAGAGCTTATCAAACATTCAATATTCGTTCGGTGAAGCTTATACGTGTCTTTCGTTTTATTTTTTGAAACATGTGTAACACATGATGTGTTCGAGTTCAAAGTTTTGTTGAAATTGGGTTATTTGAATACCTTTGAATATATTACTCATCTTGCTTACATCGAAGAAAAAAACGTCATCAAGTTTACAAATTATACCGTTTCATTCAATGTGATTTGTAATTTCGAACAATTTCGATATAATCAGTACCGATAAATGTGCATAAATAATAATAAAACGTCCACACCACCATAGAAAGTTTCTTTTAATTCTGATTTATTTAACATACAAAAGGTCATTCATTTATCCATACATTTCTTTTTATAACTTTTCAACGCAATATCTCTCAAATGTTGAGAATGTTCAGTTCCCGTTTCGTTGATAAGTTTCGTCAAGAATCCATTTTCATTTTGAAGTAAACAATGTGCATGATCGAACTCAACGGCATGGCCAGCATCCATGACAAGAATTCGATCGCTATCCATAATTGTGTGAAGTCGATGTCCAATTGTTAACACCGTACAATCATCAAAGTGTTTACGTATTAATTTCTGCAGTGCATTTTCGAAAGTACTATCAAGGCCCTTAGTTGCCTCGTCAAAAATTAAAATTTTGTTTTTTCTCAAAATAGCGCGTGCCAAACAGATCAATGGTCGTTGTCCGGCATTGAAGTTGCACTCATCGTCCTGAACTTTAGTGTATAATCCATTCGAAAATGCTGAGATTGTGCGCTTTAAATTAATCTGGAATTTAGAGATAGAAATTACGTACACGTTGAGTAAGCTGATAAAAATGTATTCAAATGAACCTGATCAAGTGCATTCCAAAGTTCATCATCCGAATGCTGATTAAATGGATCCAAATTCTGTCGAATCGTTCCAGAGAATAGAATCAATTCTTGTGGTATAACAGAGAGGTTTGAACGCAGTCTATTTAATGGAATTTTTGAAATGTCAACCGAATCAATGCTGACACGGCCCGTACTGTACGCCATTCGGAATAATGCTTTTATTATGGAACTTTTGCCAGCACCTAAAAATCGTTTTGGATTTCAATTAAAATGTTATCTTGGAGAATTTATTTTAAGGAAAAAAGAATCGCACCCGTTCGACCGCAAATGGCAATTTTTTCACCGGCTTTAATTTTCAAACTCAAATTGTTCAGCATTTGACTACCATTTTCCGAGTACTTCAACGACACATTGTCAAATTCAATCGAACCACTTTTTGGCCAATCTTCATCTAGTTCATTATTCGATTCATGGATTTTATTGTTTTCTGCTTTCAAATCTGTATATTCTTTGATTCGTTCGAATGAAATCATATTATTTTCCAATTCAGCCGTTTGTTTCACACCCATTTGTCCTAACGATATTAAGCCCAATATTTGTGTGATGGCTAATCCAACATTTCCTCCACTGATTTCTGCAAATAATTTTGAGATTGTTTCATTTTTGTTCCGCACTAATTTTTTTCAAAAAAAAAAAATCGAAAAAACTGCACCTTTTTCAAACACCATAAATATCACAATTGCGGCGGTCATATAGAACACATTAACAAGTTCCAACCAAAAAGTGATCGCCTGTGTCGACGCTTTGTATATATAACTAACGCTGGTATTTTGATCTAGAAGGGAATTGAATTCGTTGATCAAAGTAAATTCCGATTTCGTTGCATGAATCGTATTCAAGCCATTGATTGTTGCGTTTGTATGGTTTATGATTGCACTTCTTCCTATTTGGGATTTTGGAAAACGAAAAAACATATTAGTACGTAACGTACTTTCCATACCGAGTCCAGTCTCACAAAAATGAGAGCCTTCTATTCGGGGTCAAATCTAGGGAGGAGACACGGGCTTTAGTATTGCTAATTTTTCCTAATTTTTTTAGTAAATCGCATATAATATGTACATTTACATGACAGGACCCAATAAGTCCTAATTTTTCTTAGTTCCTCCCCTAACGTCAAATACTATGAGACTTTTTGCAAGGGATCCCACTCAAACCCCCCCACCACCCATTACTGTTTAAAAGTGACATCTTGATTCATTGTAATTTACCAAGTGCATCAATACGCCTAAAACATCGAGCTGAAGAAATGTATATGCGTCGAATAGCGTAAAATGCTAAACTTAGTACAAATGTAACCACCACTAGCCAAATGTTTGTCTTCGACACCAGAATCAATGACATTGTGCATTGAAGAAAGTACTGAAAATGTGAAAAAAGAGCAGAGCTTTTGAAAAACGTAATTATTCCGTCATTTTACAAAATGGATTTTTACCTTTATCAAATCATATAAAATCGTTGCCAAAGAGTAATCCGTCCCGTAAAGATCTTTGGAAAATCGATTGATAATTCGTCCCGAAGGGTTCACATTGAAAAAATACATTTGGGCTTGAACAACAGCGTGTAACATTTTGTCATGGATTCGACGCGATGCCCTTAGACAAAGCATGTAAATAGACATCGCTTGTTGAAACACTAAATATATAACGATTACACTTAAAAAGGTGTAAACGTAAAGATAATTTTCACGATCACTTTCAATGGATGCATTTCCAACATTGATAGCACTATCGGTTGATGAAATATTTTGAGTAGTCAATTCAACTTCCCAGTCTACCCTGAAAAAATAAATCGTCCAATTTGTTAAAGAGTTTAAGTGAAATAATATAAAGAAGAAAAAATCTAGTCCCAACCATTTCGAAATAAAAACATCGATAGCACTGACTGAAAGTTGCCCAATGATGAACATGGCTATAACAACAGCCCAAAGAATTGAGCTTTCGGCAGACTGTAAATATGATTTGTAGATGTTTCTATTGACCGCTCCCGTTGATTGATGTTCTTTTCGGCAATTTAGCTGTTCGGCATATGCTTTTTCGATGATTGATGAATTGCTAGTCTGGAAACAAAACATTCATTTAGTAGCGAAAATTCGTATAGTAAACCGCACTACCTTTTTCAAAATCATTTTCTTTTGTTTCGTCTTCGTTGGGTTTTCCTCATTTTTATTAATCGAATGTTGTTTTTGATATTTAATTTTTCCGTCATTCATAAAAATGGTGCGATTCGATGCTTTTATGAATTGTTCCTGATGTGTGATCAGAACGCGAATTTTATCGTGCAAAAATCCTTTGATGCAATGATTAAAAATGTGTTTTCCAACTACAGCATCAATAGCTGACAATGGATCATCCAATAAATAAATATCTGCTTGCCGATAAATTGCCCTTGCCAATGAAATTCGTGCTTTTTGTCCACCACTCAGACACGTCCCCGATTCACCTACCATTGTCAAATCTCCAGCGCTCATTAGCTGTATATCTTGTTCTAGGCCACATATTCGAACCACTTCATGGTATCGCTCTTGATTGTACGGTTCGGTAAATAGGATATTTTGACGTAAAGTTCCATCAAAAAGCCAAGGTTCTTGTGATGCATAGCTAACCACTCCATTCACCGTAATTTCCCCGCTACTAATTTCAAGTTCTCGTAAAATGACGTTCAAAATCGTCGACTTTCCCGAGGCAACCGGACCGGTGACTGTGACCAATTCATTTGAATTTATTTGAAAAGTGATGTCTTTTATTTGATTTTCACTGCCCCATTCAGCGGTTACATTTTTAAATGAAATACATTTATTTTGTGTAGTTTCGCTAAAATTCACAATTTTTCGTGGGAGTACTTTTGGTGAAAATGTTTTGTTATCTGGACAAAAACCGAAATTTATTATTCCGTCGCTTTCTGTTGGTTTTCCCTCTGGAAGAAGAAGGAATTCTTCAATACGCTTGATTGACACGAGACATTCACCAGTGTATGTCATGGCTACCGACCATGAAAGAAGCATTGAATCGTACAGAAAATTAAAGCATTTTGTCACCACAAACACCTGACGCGGCGTGAAAATGTTTCCGAACAGAACGTACGAAGCCAGAGTTAAAAATACTGAAAGTCGCGAAATTACCCAAAAAGTACATTGAATGCTACGAATGATGAAGATCCAGCGCATTGCATTCAGCTCTTTCCTGAAGGTTAGAAAAATAATTTGAATGAATAAAACTAACCAGCTAACGACAAAGGTGCTGACGAGGCTTTCTTCGCTAAAATAGTCGGAACCTTAAAAATATTTTTCGGGATCCTAGAATTTTCGGGAGGTTTTTAAAATGAAAATCATTCGATTTGCTAGAGACATTGGCTCTTCCAAGGTATGGATCTTTCCAAAGATTCTCTACACAATTTCGCCATCACCCCCCTCAAAAAAAATGCCCGTCAACACCTATGAAGTGACGACACGTTCGACTGCGAAATATTTACTTATCATTTATGTACAACAAATAGTCTCCAATTTGCCCCTAGTTTTGACTTCGCGTTGTTTTTTTGAATTTATTCTTAAGTCTTAAGTATATCATGCTAGATATCATGCATGAGCAAAAAAAAAATACTTACTTTCTGATGTGTTCAATAATATTGACCAACGGCGTTTCCCATGCATACATTTTGATCGTTTCTATACCTTGGATAATTTCGTTCAAAAAACAAATCCGAGAATCACTTTGTTTTACAAAATTATACCGATATTTCGCCATCATTTCCCCCATTATTGCTACCAAAATGAATCGATAAAATTAAAATATCAATTGAATATATCGAGAAGAGAGTATGTTATTCAGCACTTATGGCTGAGTAATGTCTGAATAAAAACATAATCTCCTCTCGATATTTTCAATAGATATAATAATTATGCAAATTAGGTAGCTCACCTTGAAATGGAATCCAGCATAAAATGAAAACAACCCCTATTAAGCCATAGTAGCCAATCTCACTGTAGAGCACAAATCCAAAGAAAATCACTTCAATCGGTCCTTTCCACAAATAATGAAGCAACATAAATACATAATCAAATCGATATGTGTCGTATTCCAGTAAATTTATAACTGTTCCATTTAGAAGATTGATCGATGATGATTTTTTCATTTTAATGACCTGCAAAATGGAAGGTATAACATTCCATTCATAATCTTGAACCGAAGCCTGATCATGCCCGTAGCTAACAACACCTCTAATGCGTATTCCGAGTACTAATTGACGTTTGTGACAATATGGCCGTCACGGTTTGGAAAATTCATAATGAATCGATTAAACTGCGTTAAACTGTTAAAATAAAACAGAAATAAATAGATTTTAATTTTTTACATTTTTGAAAATAATTTTTTTTTGTTTTTTAATTTTGTGAGATTTTCTGTCCACAATATTCAAAAATATTAAATCAATAAAAATGAATTGGTTGACATAACCTCACTTTCGTGTCACAATCGTGATAAACCGATTAAATAATTATTAAAACAGTAGAAATAAAAATATTTTAATGTTTTACATTTTTAAAAATAAAAATTGTTTGTTTTTTTTTGTAGTTTCCGGTAGTTTCGTGAGATTTACTGCACAATATTCAAAAATATTAAATTAATAAAAAATGAAGTGGTTGACATAACCTCACTTTCGTTTTAATAATTATTTGATCGGTTTATCACGATTGTGACACAAAAGTGAGGTTATGTCAACCAATTCATTTTTATTAATTTAATATTTTTGAATATTGTGTACAGAAAATCTCAAAAAATTAAAAAAACAAAAGATTTTTCATTTTCAAAAATGTAAAAAATTAAAATCTATTTATTTCTACTGTTTTAATAATTATTTAATCGGTTTATCACGATTGTGACACAAAAGTGAGGTTATGTCAACCAATTCATTTTAATTAATTTGATATTTTTGAATATTTTGGACAGAAAATCTCACAAAATTAAAAAAACAAAAGATTTTTTATTTTCAAAAATGTAAAAAATTAAAATCTATTTATTTTTACTGTTTTATTTTAACAGTTTAAGGCAGTTTAATCGATTCATTATGATTTTGCCAAACCGTGATGGTCATATTGTTACAAACGTCGATTAGTACTCGGAATACACATTAGAGGTGTTGTTAGTTACAAGGTTTATATAGGAAATCTTATACCATGATCGGGCTTCGTCTTGAACATATATTTTAAAACGTAAGTTTGAAAATACGGAAATATTACCTTATTATAGATCATCGATGCGAAAGTAACGCGCATTTGCATGCCTTTTTGAAATGCGTACATTTGAAATGGATTTGTGAGAGAACTCGATGTAAATGCACACATAATCAGTGCAAAGGCATACCAAACTGCCATTGTGTTTGATTCGGTGTTTGAGTTCGAAAAGTGAGTCACCAAACCTCCAAGAGCAAAAGACTGCGTTATTCTATTGAGGAAGTGAATCGTTTTATTTGGTCGAGGTGGAAGGTATTAAAAATTCAAATAGAAAAATTTAATCGAACCTAAGAAACATATCGATCATAGAGTAAATAAAACTAATACCGATGAATTTTGACATGTATAGTTTCCAGATGATATTTTTGATTCGTGGATTTCTTTTTCCATGATTTGTCTCCTCTTCCCAGCATTCAATGCAGTTTTGCGTTAGTTTAACAGAGTCATTTGATTTCAAATTTGCATAAATGTCATTTGCATCAAGAGATTTGTTTAAGCCCAATTTAAACAAATCCTTTAACCACCTGAAGAAATAGTTATAATAATTAATTTTGTGGGAAATCATTCAACACGACAAAATCACAGTTGAGGCTGGTTTCAATCATAATTTATTATTTTATTTTAAAAAAAAACCGAATTTCTAATGAAGAACAGAAATCTAAAAATATGCAATTACCAAAATGACCAGCGTTTAAAAGTCGATGCATTTTCATACGGATGGGGTATACTTGCAGTTCCTTTGTTTATCACGTTCATCTTTTCGTTCACATTTACGTTTAGAGAATTTGAGTTTTTGACCCCGTTCACATAAAGTGATTCAGATTAAGCACTATTTATACGCACTTAGTTTACTTTCTAGGTCTATGACAAAACTAATGGAAATTTTCGCTTTGACATAGAAATAAATAACAAAACTAACTTGGCCCAAATCTATGATTTTTATGATTCAATATTTACTATTCATTAAACCTTGAACGATAAGATAAAAAAAGAAGCAGTATCATTGATTACTTTTCATCCACACCTAGTGTAGGAAAGGTATTGTATTAGTCCAAAAAATTAAAGTCACCCCAAATTTTGGGGTCCAAAACATGTTTTCTATGCATATTTCATGTAGAAAACACGATTAGAAGCGATTTTGAGGCATATTAATGTTACTCGCTGTGTGTGATGTCCGGCGTATCCGCAAAATTTTTATATTTTGCACCATAGCCCATCTCACAGAAAAGATATTCTGAACTTACTTGGGATGGGGACTGCGAGGAGTACATCTGGTCAAATTTTGAGCGACATTGGCTGATCAGTGTAAAGTGAGGGACCGGAAAACCAAATTAGATGTTAACTTTGAGATACGAATAATTTTTAAAATACTTTTCAATTTTTTACACAAAAATCTGCAAAAATGTTGATTTTTGTATGGGAGCCATGCCTTTATGGTATCGTAACAACGTGAAACTTTTCACATGTTATTTCTTTTCACAAAAAATAATATTCTGAAAGTTTTAAAAATTTGAATGCAACTTAGGGGTACTTTCCATACAAAATTTTCGTTTTGAGCTAAAAATCAAAAATGTTGTATGGGAGTAACCCTTCTTTTTATTTGAAATTTCTTCAAACTTGGTGAGATTATAAATTTTGGTGAGAAAATAAGATTTACAAATTTTCATTGTGCTTACAACAAACGGTCTGAATAAATCTAATGATCTAACTTTTATTATTTCAACACCATCTTTATTTAACGTACAATTCGCTGGCTTAATCTACTTGCTTAGCTTCCCGAGTACGACTGACTTACATTGGCTTATGTTGGTCTTTTATACAGATTCAAATTTGGTTATCGAACTGACAGATTGGTCAATCTAATACGGTATGCCATCCAACAAGCTGCATCCGGGTTATACCTAAATTTGGTGAATGATAGCGATAATGGCTGTCCAAAATGAATGTCAAGGTGACGTTGTGCCACCGCTCTCTATAAATAGATCTGCTGAATAATGTATGATTTTATGTGGTGGTGTGACTTTCTAATTATAAATTCAAACATTTTTTGCATTTTGTTGATCGGATTTCTTCTATCCATAGAAATACCATTTTTTACCATAACAGCGCATTCGATAGAAACTTAATTAAAAATTTGATTTTATTAGATGATTTGATATAGGTTGATTTAGTGACATTTCATTACCGGTGTAAAATTTCGATTTCCATGCCGAAAATTTAGCTTGCGTAAGTAAGCCTCTTTATTACATAAGACATCACGTATGACTTGATTTATCAAGAAATGGGCCTCGCATACGCTTCTCATTTGATTAAGTTCAGTTTTTTTTATTCGGTTATTTTTTTCAATCAACAAAGTGTCAATTGCCCGTATAAAGTTTACAGCCTGCCAAATCTGGCACAAATTACGTATAATTATTTGATTTAAATGAAATTGTATAAAGAAAAAACTTTGTATTTGATACAGTTTTATAAGTAACTTCGATTGAGTAGATCCAATTAACCGAAGTTAAATCTAGCAATGCGTGTTTCATTTTTCAAAAAAAAAATGTCAACAAACATGTTTGAATCGACAGTTATTTGAACTTGCTAACAATCACAATCGCATACTTCCAATACAAGTGCTGACACAATGACAGTATGTATTACCAAATTGATATTCCACTGAATTTATTACTGTCTCATTTTAAATGGGCCATTTAGACGATTGATCAATGACCTTGATCCACTTAAACAAACACCAATTCTGCGTAAAATTGTATTGCGTTTATATTTGACCTAATTTGAAGCATATTAGGTGTTATAAACTTACGAAAACGGAACTTATAGTAAACTGAACTATCGAATATAGTAAATGTGCTAATGTTTATCGAAAATGTTTGTTTAGTCGTACAATTTGGAATGCTTGAATTTTTCTTTAGCCATTGAATATAAACGATCATATTCTTGTTGTCCAAGTGCTTCGACCATTTTTCGGAATATTCCATCTTTGTTTTGCATCAACAAGTGGGGCGCATCGAATTCAACGGCTGCTCCAGCATCCATAACTAATACGCGATCCGAATCAATAACTGTGTTGAGTCTATGAGCCACGGTCAACACCGTTGAATTAATGAATTTCTCTCGTATTGTCTTCTGAATTACTTCATCCGTTCTAAAGTAGTACGATTGCATTTCAAATTATGTTGAAAACTTATCGAATAAAATGAGGAAATGCTTGAAAGAATCTTACCGAAGGTCAACATTTGCCGTTGCTTCGTCAAGAATTATGATGCGATTCTTTCTCAAAATGGCACGAGCCAAGCATAGAAGTTGTTTTTGGCCAACGCTAAAATTCTGTCCATGAGCCAGAACGGGCATTTGCAATCCATTATTCTTCGATACGAATTCTTTGAGCTCAACATCATCAAGAGCCTTCCAAACGTCATCGTCCGAATATTCTTCGAACGGATCTAAATTTCTACCAAAGAAATGTTATCTTTTGAACATGTTTTGTCTTTATTTTTCTGAAATTACCTCCGCAGGGTGCCTGAGAAAAGAGTTGGTTCTTGTGGTATAATTGATATTCTCGATCGCAGCACATTCAAATCGATCGCAGACGTGTTGACATCGTCAATGATAATATCGCCATCGACTATTGCCAATCGGAAAATCGAACTGATCAACGAAGACTTTCCAGCTCCCGTTCGTCCAACAACACTGATTTTTTCTTTGGGCTTGACCGTAAATGATAATCCATGTAAGACTGGTTTATCATCAGTCGAATATTGATAAAACACATCTTTGAATTCAATTTTTCCTTCTAATGGCCACTCTGGTGACAACTTTTGTGGTATTTCTGGCTGTTTTTCAGCCTCTAGCTGACTATATTCCAATACACGTTCAACCGACGTTAAATGATTTGCAACATTTGCACCTATGATGAAAAAATTACTATATAACACACAAATCCAAGTGAAGACCAATCATTTTGTCAAGATACTTTCTTAATCTTACGGTATATTGCAACAATCCTGTTAAAGTGAGTATTTGGGTAATAGTCAGACCGACACGATCACCAGTTGCTCCTATGAAACCAAAAAAAACCCAAATCAAATCAACTAATTTTCAAATGGGCAATTGTGAACAAACCTTCATTTACTGCCAGAAATACATAAATGACAACACCAATGAAAAGGCATACCATCATATCCAAAGCCATTCCAAATCCATACGATGTACCCAAAAACATATAACAAGCGCCCGAATTTAAATTTTGATGCCTCTCGAACTCATCTCGCAAGATCTGTTCGGCTTGAAATGCTCGAACTGTTGCCAATCCTTCTATAGTTGCCGAAAGGTGGGTGAATACCGGAGAGTTGGCTGCAAACAACAATTTAAAGTAATACTTTCGAATGGTTAAAATATTATTCTATTTCACTAACTTATTCCTTCTAAATGTTTGATATTTGTGGAACATTTGACATATATTTTACGAAGAACGAAGAATACACTTCCCATTACAAGAATCACGACCAAGAGTTTAATATCCGTATAAATAGTAACTGTGATGACACCAAGCACAGTAAAAACCAATTGAGATGCTGCTAGCAAAGTTTTTGGTAACATTTCATCGATGGTTCCCATATCTTTTGTAAATCTATTCATAATGCGGCCCACCGGATTCACATCAAAAAACTTCATTTTCGTCGCAATCAATCCATGGAATATTGTGTCGTGCAAATTCTGTGATGCTCTCATACATGCTACAGAGTATACAATGGATCCGATCGTGGCTGATATTATCAATATCGTCATGATTCCACCGTAAATATACACGTATGTTTGAGTAGACCATGTAATGTCATTGCCCATAAATGTTTGATTGAGTGAAACATTCGGATTCAGTTGATGAGTTTTACTTTCCTCGTTTCTTATCCTGAAACGAAAATCGAAAGTTTTTAATAATAACAATAATTATTTATTAAAATAATCAATTACCAATATGAAACCCAAACATCTGCTGTGCTAGCAAAAGTTTGAGTTATCACAAACAAAGCACATAAGAGAATTGGAACACCGGTAATATTTGATGATTTAAGATACTTTTGAAGAATTGATCCCTTGATTCTTCCCTTCGATGACGCTTCTAATTCAATCAGTTTATTCTTTTCTTCGGGATTCGTGTGATTTTCATCGATCTTCTCATTTGAAGACAACAATCCATTTCATTTTTTTGTGGATTCTTTCTATCGTTTTCTTTATTTATTTGTTCGTTTTCGTTCTTAATATGGGCAAAATCAACTCCATTTTTCAAAACTGTGTCATAATCTCCTTGAGTTTCGATTTTTCCCTGCCAAAAATGGAGAGTAATTAATTTAATTTAATTGTCAGGGATTGTTGCTATGATGAGGAGGAGAAACGGTGAGGAGGAAAGATTTTTTGGCCAAAAACTCTGGTTAAAAACATTGTGATTGAGGAGGAGCGACCTCCTCCTCATTCTTATCTTCACTGTTCCTCCTCAGAAGAAGAAAAATCCCTGAAAAATGTAAAAAAACTTGAAATTACGTCTTTCAAAACAACAATCCAGTCCGCCTCTTTCATGAAATGCAATTGATGTGTAATTAAGATCCGAGTAGCACTTTGTTGTGCCAAATATCCATTTGAGCCAATACACTTGCGAAACAAATGAGATTGAACGTGAGTGTCTACCGCGCTCAATGGATCATCGATGAGATAGATATTGGCTTTGCGGTACATTGCTCGGGCCAAACTGAAATTGAACCATAAATCACTTTTACTAGATTATTAAAAAGGATGCTCTTACTTAATTCTCGCTTTTTGTCCACCCGAGAGTCCGGCCCCGTTTTCACCAACCAATGTCATGTCGCCATCACTGAACTGCTTGAAATCTTTACATAAATCAGCGCACTCTATCACCTCATCGTATCGCTTACGATCCATCGGATGACCAAAAGTAATATTTTGTCGAATCGTTGATGTGAAGGTCCAGCTAACTTGGCTTGAATAAGACACCGTGCCATTGATTCCCATTGTTCCATGTATCAAAGGTAATTCTTTCAATAAAACTTGCATAAGTGTTGATTTACCTGCTCCTACTGAACCAACGACGAAAACCAATTTTCCTTTCGGCACTTCCAAATTGATCTCAATCAATCTAAACAGTTTGTATTCGCTTGTTTTTGCTTCATCGTCATTACATTTCCGCACACTTAGTGTAGGAAAGGTGTTTTGTTTTGAACCAATGTTTGAGGAGTCGATTTCAACAGCATTCCATTCCGCCGAGACATTTTTCAGTTGAACAGCAACATGGTTTGATTCCAAATATTCGGAACATACAGTCTCTGATTCAATCAACGAATCACTCTTCTCTTCATATTTTAAGAACATTTGTATACGTTTAATCGAAATCAATATTTCACAAATCTCTGAAATTGCTCGAATGAGAAGACTACACATTGTGTTTGAAATTAAATTGAATAAATACACTGATATGAATGTTTTGGACACGGTAATTTCTTCGGCACCATATAGCCAGATAAACGATAGAATCATACAAAAAAGTGCAATTCGTTTGACAAATAGTTCGATTGTTGTATTGAATGTTTGAATATAGAGATTTTTCAGGACCACTTTCAGTTCGAGACGTCGAGTTGCGACTATTTGACCTTCAAATAGTTTTTCCCATCCACACAGTTTGATCACTTGAATACCTGATACAATTTCATCCATAAATCGAACGCGTTCATCTGTTCGCAGAGCAGT